GGCCAACAGTGCGCGGAGCCCCTGTGCTCCAGGGCGCGCCACGCCGACCTCTGCGCATGCGGCGGCGGCAGTGTGGCGCGCGCAGCCGGGCCGTGGAAGACGTGTGAGAGCGCATCCACAGGGAGTGCGGCTTCCACGCGCGCATCAAGTTCCCGTCGCGGCGTGAGGCCGGTGAAAAATTGGCTGCGCGACCTGCGACGCGCGGGGCGCGACGCTCGACCCGCCCGCGGGGCCATGCAGTGGGCGCGGGCCCGTCTGGACCTCGACCGCGAGGATGCCACTCTGGACCTCGAGGCGCAGGCGCCGGGGGGCCCTCGCCTATTCGCGGACGTCGCCGTCCGCTACGCCGTGCCGGGTGACGCCGGGCTCCTCGCGGCGGCGGCCTGGCGGGGCGGCGCCGTGAACGCAGACGCCGAAGGCGACGAGCGGCTATCCGGCTGGGCGCGCGCCGTGGTCCGTCCCATCTCTGGCCCGCGAGACAGGGGGCTGGCACGGGAGAGCCGCCTTGCGCCATGTGCGGCTGCTGGCGCGGGACCTTAGCCAGGAAAAGGGAGAGGAAGATGGCATCTCCGCAGTGGGCAGCGTCCTGGCGCAGCGCTGGGGGGGCGAACCGTCGGTCGCCCTGCACGGGGGCGACGGCCCGGCAACTGCGCGCGAGCCTCGGGGGAAACCGAACGGCTGGCCCAGCTGCCCTCCGCGAGGCGGCGGAGGGCTGAGTTCGCGTATGCGGCGGCGGCGGGCCTGGCGGCACTGGGGCGCGGCCCTCCGGCGGTGGTGAAGAATGCCTAGATTTTGCTCGCGTTCCACGTGAAGATCTTTGTGGGGGCACTGTGGAGACAGACCTTCTTTTGGCAGGAGGAAAAAGAAGAGGAGGAGGAGGAGGAGGAGGAGGAGGAGGAGGGGGGGTAGGAGGGGTAGGAGGGGGGAGGAGGAGGAGGAGGAGGAGGAGGGAGGAGGAGGAGGAGGAGGAGGAGGAGGAGGAGGAGGAGGAGGAGGAGGAGGAAGGAGGAGGAGGAGGAGGAGGAGGAGGAGGAGGGAGGAGGAGGAGGAGGAGGAGGAGGAGGAGGAGGAAGGAGGAGAGGGAGGAGGAGGAGGAGGAGGAGGAGGAGAGGAGGAGGAGGAGGAGGAGGAGGAGGAGGAGGAGGAGGAGGAAGAGGAGGAAGAGGAAAAGGAGGAGGAGAAGGAGGAGGATTAACACACATAATAATAAGACGAACAAAAAAGAAGAATCATACTCATTAGAATAATACGAAAACATCATATGAATAATAATAGTAATATCAAGAATGTATTAATAAGAATAAAAAGAGGAATCGTAATGATAAAAGGAAGACTATTACGAATAAGATGAATAATATGGAGAAGAATAAAGATAATAAGAAACGTGCTCATAATCATTATAATACTCGTAATACTCATACTATAACAATAATAGTGCTACGAATACGAATCATACTATTAATGCTAAGCATACTAATAATACTAGTATCAATAATACCATTAATAATAAGAATACGAACCGTAATAATACTAATACGAACACGAATAATACGAATACCAATAATAATACTACTACTACTAATACCACTACTACTAATATTAATATAATAATAAATTACGCAATAATAGCAACATCTTTATTATAAATAATAGTAAACTACTAAACATAGTAATACTAAGGACGATGATCATAATAATACGAATATTAATAGTACTAATATTATTAGTAGTAGTAATACTAGTAATACAAGTAACACTAATAATAATAATACTCATACTAGTAATACTGATAGTAATAACAACTATAATATTAGTAATACTACTCATACTAATAATAATATTATAAATATGAAAATAAGAATAGACATACTAATAAGACTGATATTAATCATAATACTACGATTAAGAATACTAATGGGAATCATAATGCGAATGCTAATAAGACGAACAAGAATATTATTAATAATATTATCACACATAAGAAAACTAAGCAGACTACGAATAATAATAGTACTGATCGTAGTAATAATAATACGAAGGAGCATACGACTAAGAATAATAATAAGAATGCGAATCGCAATGCGAATAATAATAATAATAAGAACAAGAAGAAGACGACGACGCAGCCTAATAACAATAATACTACTACTAATAATAATATTACTACTAATAATAATACTACTAATAATAGTATTACTAATAATAATAATACCAAGAATAATACTACTACTAATAATACTACTAATAATAATACTAACGATAATACTAATACTAATACTAATACTATTACTACTATTACTAATAATAATAATACTAATAATAATAGTACTGATACAAATGATACTAATACTAATACTAATACTAATACTAATAATACTAATAATAATAATGATAATACTAATAATAATACTAATAATGTAAATAATAATACTAATACTAATAATAATACTAATAATAATAATAATACTAATAATAATAATTAATAATACTTAATAATTTTAATAATAATAATACTAATACTAATAATAAAAATAATGATACTAATAATAATAGCAATAATAACTAATGAGACAAATAAGAAAACTACTAATAATAAGAAGACGAACAAGAGGAGGAGGATGAGGAGGAACAGGAGGCGGAGGAGGAGGAAGAGGAGGAGGAGCAGAAGCAGGAGGAGGAGGACGAGGAGGAGGAGGATGAGGAGGAGGACGAAGATGAGGAGGAGGAGGAGGAGGAGGAGGAGGATGAGGAGGAGGAGGAGGACGAGGAGGAGAGAGGAGGAGGGGAGGATGAGGAGGAAGAGGAGGAGGAGGAGGAGGAGGAAGAGCAGGAGGAGAGGAGGACGAGGAGGAGGACGAGGACGCGGACGAGGACGAGGACGAGGACGAGGAGAGACGAGGAGGAGGAGGAGGAGGATCAGGAGAGAGGATGACGAGAAGGATGAGGAGAATGAGGACTATGATGTTGATGATGATTGGGATGAGGAGGAGGAGGAGGAGGAGGAGGAGGAGGAGGAGGAGGAGGAGAGGGGGAGGAGGAGGAGGAGGAGGAGGGAGAGAGGAGGAGGAGGAGGGAGGAGGAAGGGAGATGAGGAGAGGAGGAGGAGGAGGAGGACGAGGAGGAGGAGGAGGAGGACGAGGAGGAGCAGGAGGAGAAGGAGGAAGGGAGGGAGGGAGGGAGGAAGGAAGGAAGGATGGATGGAAGGAAGAAAGGAAGGAAGGAGGAGGAGGAGGAGGAGGAGGGAGAGGAGGAGGAGGAGGAACGATAATAATAATATTGAGAATAAGAAGAATACTAAGAATGATAATATTAAACATACTGATAATAATAAGAAGAATAATATGCATAACACTCAGAATAAGAGTAATAGTACTACCAATAAGAATACTAATGCTAATCACACTAATAGCATTATTATTACTAATAATACTTATAGTAATATTATTACTAATACGGATGATACTAAGAACCATGCTACTAATACTAATCGTACTAATACTAATAGTAATAGGAATAATAATAATATTCATCATACTAATAATATTAATACTAATACTACTAGTAATAATAATAGTAATAATAAGAAGAAGAGGATGCTGAGGAGGAGGACTAGAGGAGGCGGTGGAGGTGGAGGGTGAGAAGGGAACGGGATATCTTTACAAAGATCAAGCGTGGTTTGTCCGTTGGTGCGTCACGAGAAAGGATGGGGGAGGATAGCGGGAACGGCGCGGGGGGGGGATAATGGAGCTGGCAGTGGAAGGGCAGAGATATATAACGGGGTTGAAGGGGGACGGGGACGGACGAGAACGGACGATGCGATTGTTCGGGAGAAGGCGGGGGTCCAAGTGGGTGCTCTCCCCCTTCCCCTCGCCTTACCTCCTGCGCGTGCGCCGCGTCCGGCATCGCATCGGAGGATTCTTTGTGTTGCGTTGAACAGGTTATGGTCAGGAGGGGCAAATAGAGGCAAACGTACACAACGTAGAAGTTTCGTGAAGATCTGTGGAGATATGGGATATCGGGGGAAGAGGGAGTTTTAGGAATTTGGAACAGTATGTGACATTCCGGAATTTGTGCAGATTTATTGAGAAGGCCTTACGGCTGGTGCCGCCGACCCTGAATGACGACGACGGACCACGACGACGACGACGACGACGACGACGACGACGACGACGACGACGACGACGACGACGACGACGACGACGACGACGGCGGCGGCGGCGGCGGCGGTGGCGGCGGCGGCGACGACGACGACGACGACGACGACGACGACGACGACGACGACCTCTCGGGGACCTCTTGGGAGACCCACCCCGGGGGGGAGTCGTATCTGGGTGGCGACCCCCCCCCAGGGGGAGTCGTATCTGGGTGGCGACCCCCCCCATGACCTCTCCCCGTGACCCTCCCCGGGACCACCCGGGACCCGGACCCCCCCCAGGACCCCCCTCCCCCAGACGCCCCCCCCCCGGCTGGGAAGGGATCAAAGGGAAGGGACGTCCTCGACTAGACGTAAGAGTGACCTTTCGCCGAAGTGACCTTTGGTGCGGGCACAGATGGGTCCCCAGATGGCTGAAAACGAAGCAGGAGCAGCGGCTTGCGCGCCCAGGTTTGGTCCCCCGCGGCCCCCCAAAGCCGCGCACCACAGGTCACTCTTACCCAGGGTCACTCTTGCGTATAGCCGACGTCCCTTCGACTCAACGACAACGTTGCTCAAGTTCGCTGTGGCTGGCGCGCCTTAGGAGGAGGGCCCGGTGAAAGTGGGGGGAGCGGCGGCGGGCCTAGGAAAAGGGGAGGGGAGCGGCGAAGGCGACGACGACGACGACAGCGAGGGAATTCCAGGAATTTGGAACAACTTGTGACATCCTGGAAGCTATGCAGATTTATCGATGTGTGTCTCCCCGTGCCCCCTGTCTATGCCGACGGCGGGCCCAAGGCCCAGGACGGGACGGGCCGGGACCTCGTGCGGGTGCGCAGCCGGCGCCCTCGCAGTGCCGCCCCCTCAGGGCTCCGCCGCCCCCGAGACCAGCGAAATCCCGCCCGAGGAGCCCCGCCGCTGCCTGCGGCGGCCGCGCGACGGCGACGGCACCGACATCGACGGCACCGCCAGCGACCGCGGCGGCAACGGCTGGCGGCTGCGACCGCGACGAGGTCGGCGGCAACGGCGGCGGTAGCGACGGCGACGACGGCAGCGACGGCGGCGGCGGCGGCAGCGACGATTGCGCCGGCGACCGCCACCCACCGGGGCTGGCAGCGACAGCGGCGGCGGTGACGGTGGCGGTGACGGTGGCGACGACGCTGGCGGCGGCGGCGAGCCCCTGCGAACGAGGAGCTCCGCAGGCAGTCCAGGGACTTCAAGCCCTCCGAGCACCAGGCCAGGCGTTACGCTCCGCTGTCTTACAGATCGGGGGGGCCTGGTCTGAGTTGTAGGGGGCGTCTACGGGCCATGGGGGGCACCTGCGCGCGCATGGCCACCGAGCTCAGCGGGGACGGCGGGGATGACCGGTCCTTCTCAGCCGCCCGGCTTCCGCAATATAGCCGACCGTGTTGGGAGGCTGGGATTGCCCGGGAGGGCGGTGACCTTGCTCGGCCATGGGGGGCACCGGTGCGGGCATGGCCACCGAGCTCAGCGGGGACGACGGGGTCCTCTCGGCCGCCCGACTTCCGCAGTATCCGACCGTGTTCGGGAGGCTGGGATGGCCCAGGAGGGCGGTGGCCTTGCTCGCCGTGGTGCTGATGGTGTGGTGCGGCGACGGCCCCCTCCCCTCTCCCCTCCCCGCCGAAAGCATTCTTCCTGCTCCGCCTTCCCCTCTCCTCCCCCTCCCCCTCCCGGCCTTCCTCTGCCTACTCCCTCTCGCCCCTCGCTGCTCCGCCCCTCCTTCCTGCACCCTCCTTCTGCTCCCGCCCCCTCCTGTCCCCCCCTCACTCCCGTCTTCGTCGCCCCTGCCCTCGTTCTCCTCGCCGCTGCTGCCGCCACCGCTCGCCGCCGCCGCCGCAGTCGCCACCGCCGCCGTCGGCGTCGTTGTCGCCGCCGCTGCCGCCACCGCTCGCGGGGAGATGCCACGATCCTTGATCCTTGTGCTCGTCCTCCTCGATACTCGACCCTCCTCCTCCTCCTCCTCCTCCTTCTCCTCCTCCTCAATCCTGGATCCTCAATCCTCAAGCCTCCTCCCTGTCATCCTCCTCCTCCTAGATTCTCGATCCTCCTCCTCCTCCTCGATCCTCGGGGGGGGAGCCGCGGCGGCAGCGCCGGCGGCGGCGACCCCCCCACGAGAGGCGCAGCATGCGCCCAGTGACGCTGGGCTGGAGGAGCGCGCCCCAGGTGGGGGGCGGAGGAGGAGGAGGAGGAGGAGGAGGAGGAGGAGGAGGAGGAGGAGGAGGAGGAGGAGGAGGAGGAGGAGGAGGAGGAGG